GTTGCTATAAAAAGCTCACAAAGCCCTTCCATATACAACATTTCATTTTGCAATTGTTTAGGCCTTCTGCTCCCAATTCAGGCTCCTCCCACTTCACCACACTGTCTTCTGGCAAACATTTTCTTCTTATAGGTTAGAAATGAGCCTTCATAGTATTTCCTGTTCATAATGTTCTCATACTCTGGGTTTACTCTACAAGAGACTTCCTGTCTCAAGTGTACAGGCGAGGTAGAGACATTGAAGAGCTGTCTCTGCCTTGGCAGACCTAGGTAGTGTGCATACATGGCCTCTGTGATGCAAGAGGTCTGAGTAAGACTAAGAACAATGGCTGCACTGCAGTCAAGTACAGGCGGAGGTACACATCCGGCATAGCGTGACACAGCGGTATTGGAGCACAGGCGCATAATCCTGTGCATTATACAATCACAGCTTTATAGCCATCACATGGGGGGTGCTCATTGCCTGCCTCTGAGCCACTATTGTCTGTAAGGTGTATAAAAGCAGCACCGACAGTGTGAGGGAGCTGCTGAATAAGCCATGTCCCACTACCTATGGTCTTGTGAGTATTCTTTCAGCTACCTGCCACCCCACAAACTCCCCTCAGACCTTGGCTGGTGCTGGAACCTAACAGTAAGTGTAAGCCAGTGTGCCAAGGGAAAATCTCTGAAAACATTTGGACTCAATTCTAACTTATATTAAATCCTTTACATGACTCCCAGGAAAACAAGGAAATACTTTCTTGCTCCTGTCCCCGAAGGGACAATGAAACAGACCACTTCCACATAACAACAAATAAGTGACAGAAAAAGAATGGCTAACCTTTAGAATCTGATGTGACATATCCAGTGTAGGTTTGGAAATAGCTCAGTGCTCATGAGAAGATATCAGGGAACGACATCAATGCCAAGCCAGTGAGGGAGGCAGGAAGTTGGGCCTCACACAAAGCCCAGAAAGTAAGGAGCTGTGATTTACCACAAGACTTCTAACAAAGTTACTGCCATGCCTAGAATCACTTGCTGGCTGCTGGGCCCATCTGGCCCTTTATCGGCCAAATGTGCATCAGTAGATAAAATTTGTCACTATTTTAATTTAACTAACATCATGGAGAGAGCATGGCCTTTGGATCAGACACATTTAAGTCTGTTTGAACTTATGGGAACTAATGGTCATAACAATGTTACTTGATTCACAGGTTGAGTTAATAATGTTATAATAAAATGCATGTAAAAATTCCTGGACCTTGGGGGTTATAAAAAACTAAGGTTACTATCATTGAAATGCTTTAAAACCTGCAAAGGCAAGAGTAATTTCTCTTTAAGTAAAAAAGACCTGTTAGAGAGACTGCTTTGGCAGTAGAAAGTCTTAGGATGCTAGAACCACAATTTGTTATTAGATTAATAAAATAGAGCCCAGTTTCTTAAAATGGTGGAAAATGAGAACAATACAAAGCACTGGTAGTCATAAGAAAGATGGCAGATCTGAGGATTGAGGAAGGTAATGGATTGCTTGCCCTGTCACTCAGTAAACATTTATCAGACCCTAATATTTGCAGAGCATCTGAAGGGGCCTTCAAGCTATAATCTAACAGGAGACACATGGCATATCACAGACATTAGAAAGCAAAGTGTCAAGAGAGGACCCCTGCAGGAGTTCAAATGGCTAGGGCCTAAAGATATCAGGAGGTTTGCCAAGGAGGTGACATTTGAGGCAGTCCTTAAAGCAGGGCTCTTCAGATTGCGGGTCATAAATTTATTATGAAAGAGATGAGAGACTGCACATTGCAAGGATGAGTATTGCTTTTTGGAATTTTTGATTCAGTTTGTGTCCTAGGTCAAAATATACAGTTCTTATTGTAATTCATGTTCAAAAAGTTTGAAAATCATTGCCTTAAAGGATTAGTAAGATTTGGACACATTTCTGATTTCCTGTCCCTTGCACTGGATTATTTCATTTCTTGAGGGACCCTTCTGTTGCTACTCCCTCTTTCTTGCCTTTCCAACTCCAGTATGAACTGCAAAACTGAGTTTAGGCATGGCCTTTTTCCATAAGATTTTCTCAACTCCCTCCCACTCACCATCTTTACCCTAGTGTGGGTTGAGTACTCCATCACCATGTTCCCACAGCATCCGTGCTTACACATTTCACAGCACTTATATAGTGATTGTTTTTGCTTGCCTGTCTACCCCCAACCCAAGCTTCCTTGGGTCGGGGAGCTCATAAAGTCTGTGTCTTATTCAGGGCTAGTCTTATGGGTATGCAGTCTGTGTAGTCACATAGGGATATGTAGTTAGAAGAGCCCTGTGCTTCTAAAGCACTGTTATCACTGTTTTGAAATTCTTATTTTATAACAGAGTCTGAATTTTCATTTTGTACAATACCTACAAATTATGTAGTCATTCTGTTCTTATTGACCCTAAAGTTAACCAGAACCTTGCTTAGAACAGAGTAAGAGATCCACAAATGAATGAACAAAATATGAAGGATTGAGTGAATAGCATCCATCATCTATTGAGAGCCTATTATGTTGTCTCAGAAACTAGGTTAACAGTGGTCATGTACATCGTGTCATCTAAATGTCTGCAGACTTAGGGACAGGTAGCACCAGGGGAAGGAGGATTATGTGAGCAAAGATGGGAGGTGAGAAAATATAGGATATGTGAGGAAAGTGGGGCACATGGTTTAGTTCAATTTAACAGCAAGAGAAGGCATTAGTGAATGATGAGTCTGGAAAGTAGGTTGAGACCAGATTGCAGAGGGAGAGGTGAAAAGTTGAACTTTGTGCTGATGATAATGGAGGCCAAGGAACATTTTTGAGTAATAAGGTCTGGGCATGAGGAAAGTTTTGGAGCTACTTAATATCTCTTCAGCTCTGGAAGAGTATATGGGAAACCTGTTTATCATTTGGGAAAGGAAATTTCCTAAGGTTCTATGAAGTCACTGTTAGATTGTATTTCATGTGTTTCTCCAGAATTGTGTGAAAATAAAATGTCACGAACCTATTTTAACAATTGATATTTTGAAAGCACTAAGAGAGACAACTATTTCATTATATCCTTTTTTTGAACCAATAATCAATTTTATTTACAACTTTGGGAAGGCATTTTTAAAAATTGTGGCTCATCCCTGATTAGGAAGTAGTTGAACACAGAATAAATTGTATTAAGTCTGTGAAACATGAATGTTCAGTTTCATAAAGAAAAAACATAAATATTGCCATAAAACATATTCATATGTTTGGAATTCATATGGATTGCCATAAAAACATATTCATATTCATATTGGAAATAGTGTCAGCACATTTCCAGGTAAGGAGAACCTGTGTTTCTGACAGAAAGAGATCAGACTGGTCATTCAACATGTGATTCCATCAGATCGCTCAATGAAAAAGCAAACTATGTAGATATGTTGAGGTGAATCCAGGGAGAAATAAATGGAATTGGACTTTTTTCAAAGTCTTTTCTGTACCTAATTCCTTCTTTTAGAAGGGACAAAACTGAGACACCTGCAGCATGCACCTGGCCAAGACAGTCAGTTTGTAGTCGGGTCAGAACCGGGGCAGGACTAAGACTGGTTGCGTTGAACTCTGAAGATTGCTGCTAACTCCAGTTTTCTTGGTGTCAGACACATTTCTTTCAGTGATTAATGCTGATCATAAACTATTGCCTTGGAAATAATAAAAATCTAAATCTTTAAGTCCATCTATATATGTGGTGTGTGTTTTTTCCCTTCTTTTCTCTGCCATAATGGCATGCAAAATAGAACAAACATGTTTTAGATATTCAAACTGTGCCTAGCCAGCAATTTATAGCCATTCCTATGTAAACATTGTCTATCAAATATCTAAATAGAGATCCAAGTCATTTTTCTTTTCTTTCTGCCAGTAGATAAGTAAATAGAAGGGAAAAAATAGCAAGAGAAAAAATAGAAGGACAAAAATACCATTTGCTTAAAGTCAACTAGCTTTTACTATGGCTCTGTGAGATAAGGAAAAAGCATTTTCAGACAGTTGCTCTGGTGATAAATCATGCACAGGAGATTAGAGCTTAAATAGAGATCCGATTGGTACAAGGTACAGGGATTCTTTTCATAAGGAATAGATCTTATTTTTAACCTTGGTAGGTTGCATGCAGCTCCTTCAGCAAATGTTATTCAACAATTCAGACTAACAAGCATTCTTAGGCACTTAAAGTGTGCCAAGCCTTGTGCCAGGATTGGGGATATAGGAAGAAAAGAGGTACATTTTCTATGTTTAGGAGTTCACAGTCTAGTGAGGAAACACAGAGGTAAACATGCATTCATGATATAGAATAAGTGTCATGATAAACTTGACCTCTGAGTATTAGAATGCAGAGGAAGAGCGTGTTTCCAGCATTGGAAATCTGGGAAGGCTTCTGGAAATGATGACTTGGTGATATGGAGATGAAGGGAGGACAGAAAAAGATTTGAGGGAGGAAGGTGTTCCAGGCAGAGAAACAGCATGTGCAAAGTCAGGATGCAGGGAGGTCCCTGCTCATTCTGCCTGTGTAGCTAGGAAAACCCAAAGTGTTTCCCATCTGTTTTTCCCTGTGATAAAACAAAGTGATTCCCTACCCCTTTCCCAATTGAGTAAATTGAAAAAAATAGTAAATTTATTAGAAGACTACACTATTAAGCATACAGAGTCACAGAAAAATATGACTAGAAGTAAAGAGAGGTGTTTCATAGGCCTGATTTCAGCCCTTATTATTTATGTGACCTTCGGCAAGTCATTTATCTTTTAAGGCTTAGTTTTCTTATCTGTTAAGTGGAGATAATTACGCCTGCCTACATCACAGACTCCTTTTTTAAATCGTTGTCAACAAACTACCAAATGCTATATAACTTAATAGATTTTATAGACACCCACACGTGTGTATGTGCACATGATTATATAGTTCATTAGACTGTAAATAGACTATACTAAGTTTTATGACCTAAATGTGTTTCTCATGATTTGAGAATAGATGTCTTCCACACTGCAACCCAACTGTTTAACCAAAAATATAAATCTGATTTGTCATTTTCTCACTTAAATCCTTTCAGTGCCTTCTCTTTACCTACCAATATCCAAACCTCAATATGTGGCCAGTAAGTCTCTGTAGACAGGTCTCCTTCTTACTTCTTAGTTTAATCTGCCACAACCTTTAAAAGGTGCTTTGTATTTTCATAATCCAAGAGACTGAGATGGCCTCTTTCTTCTCCCTTTCTGCCTCCTGTCCTTCTTCCCTTTTTGGTCCCCAGTTAAACTTTTGCCTAGGATTTGTTTCATCTTCTGCTTGCATTAGGGATTGTTTTGAAGTACACAAATGATCTGTAATCACATTTGAAGTTCCTATTGACTATCAAGAAATTTCTATTTCATGTATTCCCCTTATCTGTGGAAACCTGGATAATGTACTGTGGCCAGTAAGTAAAATGGGTCCTAGTGCAAAATCTCATATGCCCCTCCCTTGTCCCCCAGTGTCGAAATATCCTTTTCCATCTCACTGGTGGTGAGAGTTTTAGGTGTTTTTGTTACTGATGATGATCTTGGAATTATCAAATGTAAAGCTAATTTTTGCATTTTAAAACTTCATTTGTCGAAACATTTGATGTCAAATATTTGTGTTTGAATAAAATACTTAAAAAGTCCATTCAAAAACCAAGCCATTTGTGATAAACAGTGTTTTCCGACTTTCTCCATACTATGCAGTCACATTTCTAGTAAAACTCATGTGTCTAAAGGCCACTGTGGGTTATTCTTCTATGCAAAGAAAGTATGCTGTCAAAAGGTGAGTTTAACTCTCCACTTTAAGGAAGCAGAACTGTCTACAGCTTTTCTACAGATGCTGTTTTCTTTCCAATGCCAAACTTTACTCATACCTTTCTTCCTCTCTCTTTCCCAACTTGTCTCTTTTCCTCTGTCTGGCACTAGGAGCTCAGTGGTGCTGCTCTTGCTCTACTGTAGCATACGGACAGACCATCTGCAAAGGCTCTTGTGAACATGGCAGCACATATACGGATTTTTCTCTCTGTGGGGAGAGGGACATAAGAGATTGAAGATTGATTAACTCAGCTCCATGTCTTTCAGAAGAAAATCAAATGCGAGACCTCAGGCATGCACAGAAGCCTCTGGTTCTAATTGTATTGTATTGAATCATTTGTGGGACTTATTATGAATTCATTTTCATGGTCATGAATGGTAGGCACTATTGGTTAGAAGGAGTTGAAATTTAGTATGTCCCAATAATCTTGCTGCTTAATGAAAAAAAAAAAAAAAAGAAATAAAAAAAGAATAAAGAAAAGAGTAGACCAAATTCTCCCTAAATTTCCACATTTACTATGTTAAATAAACATGTATTAGCAAGCAGGCACAACAGTTTACAAAATTTATGCTGTAAGCTGATTCAAGATCCAGACTCTGTTCTTTTAGATGATTTGGCCATGTCAAATCAAGGCAGGACCCATTTTTACTACCTGGCCATAGTGTATTATCCAGGCTTCCACAGATAAGAGGAATATATGATATAGAAATTTCTTGATAATCAATAGGAACTTCAAATGTGGTTACAGATCATCTGTGTACTATTCTAGAGGCAAAATTATTGTGGGCATTAGGCAACCAGAATTTCCTACAAAATGGCTCAACATAGCTTTTATGGAGCAGGCATCAGCCATGATTTCTAAGTGCACAGGCTATAGATCTTTCTAAATTCTTATATCTAATTTTATATATAAAAAAGGTATCTCTAGAATATTATAGACAATTCAGATGTTTTGAGAACCAGCTTTCATCAGTAGCAACCCAGATCTAGCATATGTTAAGCTAACTAAAATGCTCATACTTTCACCAATGAAATATTCATTTCTAGCATTCATCATGCTAAAAAGCCTCTGGAGTTAATGGGCAATAATGATAGCTATAATTGTTGGTAGTAATTTCCTATGAAGTTTGGCTTTTTAAACTAAATATTAGCTGGCCCCTGTCTTGTAAATATAGAACTGACTACAGCAACTTATTGTCTCTACAGTATAATTTAAACTAATCTACATCTAAAATCTTATGATAAAGTAGATTACAGACAATATAGTACTCTGGGTTTAGAAGATATAGCAAACAAACAAACAAACAAAAACTTAACAGAGCTAATTTTGGGACCAGACTTCTAAATAGGGTTAAGGGTTAAGTTGCTTAGCTGAAGGTCTTCTTTCCCCAAATAACTTTGTATAAATTGCTAGAAAAGCAGTTATATTTTCTGAGATCTCATTGACTCTAAAGATCACATCATCTTTAAAAATATAAACATATCTGGAAAAGTTAAAGGGCCATCAGTACTTATTCATTCAATGAAATTTAGTGAAAGTGGTTTGGTGGAAATTAATGTTACTTAAGTGTTTTACCTCTTCCTCCCCATGCTGGGCTGGACAAGTGAGCAAGGGGGTAAGCCAGAACAGGGCTGGGGCCCTGGGGACCATGTGGAGTATGGTATCCTGAAGTCTGAAGTGTCCTGTCTGAAGAGATCAGAGTGAAAAAAGCAGAATGGACAATGTGAGCTATGTTTTTGAGGAGCCATAGAAAGAACCTAGAAAGCTGCCTTGGTAAGGACTCACCAGGACAGTTTGCTTTGTGGAGACTGGGACCTTCCAATTGGATGCTGTTTCACAGCAACACTTTGCTCATCAGGTTATCCTCAAATGCTGACCTATGCAAGTTGGTTTTAATAGAGCAGTTAGAACTTAGAAGATGATTCTGTGTTTGGAATGCAATGGTCTGCTTGACTCTAAGTTATATATTTTCAAAGGATTGGTAGATTTCTTGCACTTGAATAGCCTAGGACCTGAAGGCTGGTCACTCTCAATGAGAGTCAGGACAACACTGAACTGGATTTATGAAATGGACAGTCCAAATGATCATCTCTCTGAGCTAAACGGAAACAACAGGAAATGCCAAGATGACTTGGGGAAGGCTACATTAATAGCAAAGGGTCATAGCCTATGCCTGGTACCTCTACTCCAAAGCTCATGCTCTTCCATACTAGGGAATGGAGGGAGGATAAATGTGAGAGGAAAAATGGGGTCAGGGAAAGGAGTTTAGAGGCTTTTTCAATGGTCCAGATGAGAGATAACAGTATCTATGTCAGGAACAGTGAAGTTGCAGAGAGGTAGACAGATTAAGAACAGATATTAAAGGTAGAACAAACAAAATTTTATTGTGGTTTGGATGTGAAGGGTGGGTAATAAAGAAAAAAAGAGCAATTAACTCTGAATTTTAGATTTTTGACTTGAGCAACCAAAGTGGATGATGTAGCATTTTGTGAAAAGGGGAATGGTTTTAGGGGAAAAAAAGATTTGGGCAGGGCAGACAGGAATTTAAGGAGGAAATTTAAAGAGAATTTTGTTTTGGCCTTGTTTTTAGAGGCATATTAGACGTACATGTGAGATGGCAAGATGGCAGAAAGGTAATCATGAATCAATGTAATATTCTTATGAAACTACCAAGTCAAGTTTGTTTCAAATGTAATTCTCAATAATCAAAGATTGATTATGCAGTATAGAACTTTTGGGGTAAGGCAATTACATTTTGGAGAATGTCTTGAAGACAGTATGATTTGAGTCTTAGAGAAGTTTGTGGTAAACCATTCTTTCTGCCAGTAGTTTTGTAACAGGGTATATTGTCTATTGAGCCTTTATTCTAGTACGTTTGACAAGACAAGAGGTTTTCAAACATCTTGTTTAAGGCTTTTTCTGGATCTGTCACCTCACTTAGGCAACTTTTATTTCAACTTCTAGGAACCTGAACAAGGACTTTTTGTATTGAATTTCATTTTACCTACTTGTGAAATGACCTCCATGGTCTAACCTGGAAACCGATTTATTCCTTAGAACAGTTTTTATTTTATTTTTTAAATGAAAAAGTATGTTATAAATTCCAAACAATCCATTTAAATAAGATTTGGGAACATAGCCTGCTAGTAAAAGAGAGACTGCCTGTACTTCCTTTTTGTTACTTTTCAATCCAATTTTCAGTTAGGAAGAACTTGAAGGGAGGAGAATATGTGGAAAGGACTCAGCTGTGTATCTAGCCAGCATTTTAATTGGAGTGTGAATCATATTTAGATAGAGAGAACCTGATATAAGTCAGGTTCTCAGAAACCGAAACACCTGTGTTGGAAATTTTAGAAGTGAGAGGCTCAGGACTCCTGCACTGCACATCCCCCAAAGCACCACTCACAGTGAGAATTACATTTCTTTTCTTTTCTTTTCTTTTTTTTTTGAGACAGAGTCTTGCTCTGTCGCCTAGGCTGGAGTGCAGTGGCATGATCTTGGCTCACTGCAAATTCCGCCTCCTGGGTTCACACCATTTTCCTGCCTCCGCTTCCTGAGTAGCTGGAACTCAAAGTTGTGCAACAGAAAGGCCCTGGAGATTCCCAAAATGCCATTATACAAACAAGACATAGATGAAGTACTATGGAAAGGACTTGAAATTTAACATCATGTAAGTCTAGATCTCAGTCACGCTTTGCTACTTACTAGTCATATGGCCTTAACCTATGCAAGAAAATCACTTAACCTATATGTGTTTTAGTTTTCTTACCAATAAAATGAAAGTAATAAAAACTGTCTCATTAGATTAGTTTGTTTGTTGATTTACTCATTCATTCATTCATTCAACAAATGTTTTTTGAGCATCTACTAGGAATCAGCTATGTGTTAGGTGCTAGAGATACAACAGTGAGTAAGGTGGACATGCTTTTTCCTTCCATGGATCCAGATGGCAGGTCACTACATAAGCAGTTGCCATAAAGTGGAATCATTTGCCAATTAGAGGAAAGGGATATTCAAGTACACGACAGGAAGACCTTACATAGCCTTGGAGGATGGGGCTCTGGAAAGACCACCTAGAGATATAAAAGACTGAGTTGGCCAGATAAGGAACAGAGATGCAGGCAGACCATCTCCCTGTCTTTTACTCCTTGTATTTAATCACCCATGCCCTGTTGCTTCTCTCTTCCTAATACTTCCTTCATCATTCTTTCTTCTCCAGAGAGAAAAATCATTGGCAATTAGGCCAATCTCATAAAATAGTTTCTAAGTATTATACAATTTAGCTTTTTGAGCTGCTTTCTCCTCCTGCCTCAAATGGTAGGAATTCACCAAGGTCAATTCTGTTGCCCTTTCCTCTTCTCTCCTTCAATGAGTCAATCTGACTCCCATCTTTAACAATGATTTTCATATTGGTGACCCATAAATTTGTGTCCCCCAATAACACATAAATTGGGGGATTAGGGCAATAAGTTCCACCAGGAACAGCCTAGGGCAATTTTGCCCACTGGGAACATTTGACAACATCTAGAGACTTGATTGTCAAGACTTGGGAGGAGATATGAGGCTATTGACAGCTAGTGGGTAGAGGCCGGGAATGCTGCTAAATACCGTACAATGCATAGAATGGTCCTCACAACAAAGAATTATTCAGTCCCAAATGTCCGTAGTTTTAAAGTGGAAAAACCTACTCCATTTCTGTAAATACCTATGGGCTTACACTCTCATATTTCTGTCTGCTTTCTGTCTCTTTTTTCTGCAGCTGCTGTCTGCTTTGTTAATCTAGACAGAAAACTCAGTCTCTGAACAGGTTTACCCAATAAAATGCACTTACATCAGACATTCTTGGGTTTATTGTATTTCACTGAAAATGTCTGAAGAATCATAGAGAATCCAATTGCACAATGCAGCTTTTCTCTTTATCTTTCTCATCTCTGTTCCCATCTGGTTCCTCTTGGGTTACCTGAAAAAAGAAAAAAAAAACCTCTAGATTATTCTCTGTCTAGTGGAAAAGCAACTTCCTTATCTGAAACTTTGGCATCCACTGATCCCTGAAGACCTGGTTGGGGGTGGTGGTGTTGACTACTACTAACACTAACACTTATCCACACAGTTTTCCAAATAAGATAGTGGTATTCCTAAGTTAGTTTCTGATGTGTAAAATCTCTTTGTTTTAAAATGTGCGATTTTAAATTAATTTAAACCTTATTGTTTTCAAAATGCTTTTTACTGGTGAGATTAAAAAGTATATTAATTAGGATATAGATTCAGTTGCCCAAAACAGAGATGTATAATTACAGGGACTTAAACGAGACAGTTTAGTTCTTACACTCTTAAACACCTAAACTAGTATGGCAGCTCCATTCTGGGAAAAGCAGGGGCCTCAGGGTAGCCCTTCTCAGCATAGTTCACAATGGTCCTCTACCACATCCTCATTCCACTGGAGGAAGGGGGAAAGAAAGTGAAAGGCGTGGCCCTTACTTTTAGTCTATTTGTTTATTTAAAAAAATTTTTTTCTTGGCCCTTGCTTTTAAAGGTAAGACCTGGAAATTCTCCATTACTTCCACTCCAATCCCATTGGCCAGAACTTAGTCATTGGCCAGAACTAGGGGTAATGGGTGGTGGAGAATGTAATCTATATTCAGACTCATTGTATGTGTAGCTAAAACTCAAAATCCTTCTTCATTGGATGAAGAGGAGGATGGCTGCAGTGGAACAATTAGGAATATCTGCCTCAGAGGGGACTTGGCGTCAGGAGTACCTGAGAACAGTGGGAATGCCTGTGAAAACTTTATCTGTGTTTTCTTGATTCTTTATAACATTTCTCCTCCATGCACCTGCCAGAACTCAAATTCCTTCCTTATGCCAGCACTATATTATTACAGTCAGTTCCTATCAGTCTCCCTAGTATAATTCTCCTTGCTTCACTCCCTTGCCCAAACCCTTGTCTTAAAACAGACCCCTATCCTACCAATAATGACCCTCCAACTTTTGACCTCTACTTCCCAGTCTTAATTCTCTTTAACACATGTTGCTTCCCTCTTTTCCCAGTCTTTCCAGACTATAGAGACATATCTCTTCTCTGAACTCTAACAACCAGTAGAGGTTGCGCTATGCAGTTTCACAGGTGATAACTTACGTGCATGTGCATATGTGTGCATGAAGTGCGTATGTGTTGGGGGTTTGGGAAGGCTGTTTTGTGGGTATGTTGGGAGTGAGTGGAAGTGAATGTGGATAACTAGGAAGGACCAGTATGTGAGGATCTTGTTAAGAAACACGTTAACCTAAGACACAGAGGCATTATCAAACACTCCTGGGATGATGGCATCAATAATTTATACTGCAAGAAATGCTAATTAGGAAAGAGTAATCAGACAAACTGCTCTTTGATCTCAGTGAATACTTGTTCAGCGCTAAGGTAAATCTCAATGAGATTAGAAGCTCAGGACAAATATGTAGAGACCTTGAATTACATGTAGTAACAACAGTGATGAAATATTAATTGATTTGCTTGTTTTCCTACATAGAAATACTTAAAAGAGTAGATTATGATATTCTAGAATTCCAGAAGGGAATATTTATTAATAGGCAGGCTAGGATTCCCTAGAGAGGGACAAAAGTAGAGAAGTACAATAGGATGTCTAAAAAGAGAGAGAAGAAAAAGACTGGCTTCTTTTTCTTCTTTCCTTCGTTTCTACTCCTCCTTCTGTCTCACTTTGCAGAGGTGGGCTATGACCTCTAGCGTTTCCAAAGCATAAAAATATGCTCCCTTCTGTCAGTATTTTAGGAAACTGTGCTTCCTCCAAACAGATTCAATTTTTGCTCCTCATCCTCAGATCATCCAGCCTTTATCTCATATAATCATATCAGGGGTCTCAGTTTGAATTTAAACTTTAATAACCCTAAGATTTAGATATGTTGTGGTGATGAAATGGGCCTGAGAAGAAGAGGTCCTATATATGAGGGGCTCAGGAGCCTCCATAAAGCGTAGGTAAGAAAAAATGAACGCTAAAGAAAATAGTGTTATCCACCCCTTGTTCAAGGCCAGAAGGCCAAGGTTGAAGAAGAGAAGTGATTTTGAGAGGTACAGGCTGCAAACCAGCCCAATCCACAAAGAACTATGCCTGAGTCTTAGAATGAATTAGATATAGTTAAAGTATGGGTAAAGAAGCTGTCTCCCTAAAAATCTCTGTGGTACATTGCGAGCCCAAGGTATAGCAGCAGCATTCTCTAGACCTGTAGTGGCAACCAAAGATGTTGCTAGTGACTTTAGCAGAAACCATTTCATTGCTTATGAACTCAGTCACTAGCAGCCTTAGGTGTTCAGCATATTAGTGGGTCTTGGCATATATAGCAGTCACATTTGGCATCAGCATTGGTAAGTACAGAGGTATCACCTCTGAGCCCCCAGCAGGAGAGGAAAATCATGGAAGACCAAAGTAACCAGGGCAATTAATTCACAAGCAAATGTGAGACATGCCCTTGGGCCACGGTTTCCAAAATAGAGTGGGTCTGTAGGTCTGAAGTTAGCCTCGGGATCTCTGAATTAGAGCCTATGGCTAGATAGCTGGACTTCTGAGGCACTTAAAGCCATCCAGCCTAGTCCTTTCATTTGATAGAGGAGGAATCAAAGACCTTTGAAAAGTTAAAGATATGCTCCAAGTCAGAGGGAGAAATTAGACCCCAAATGTAGGTCTTCTGATTCTTAGTCTGGTGCTTGATACTAAACACTAAATAGTTATCTTATTAAACGTAAGTCTTTATGACAAGAGCTTCATTTTCAGATGTGTTATTCAGATTCTTTGTGCACAAAGGGGTACCGAAGAAATGCTGGTTAGAAAAGAAAAAAAACCAAACAAACCTTCCATACTTGGGGTAGGATGGACAAGTCTCACAGTCCCACATAGTCATGCCTCTCATCCAACCCAGGTCTTGAGTTATGTTCTTGGATTTTGACTTAGGCTAGCTCTTTCCCAGGGAGTTCTGTAGCCCAGCTCCCGCTACCAAGCCTCTCAAGAGAAGCAGGCATGCCTAGGTCTCTGGTGAACACAATTAGGCTACAACAGAAACACCTATTTAAGTTGGTGCAAAAGTAATTGCGGTTTTGCCATTACTTTTAATCTTAGCTCAAGCTGTGGGAGCTGGAAGTCCTGGGCTTTGAAGAAGGATGGCATTGGAGGAGGAAGTCTGGACCCGCAGCAGCAACACCTCAGTGGGGTACTGACAGGAGGGACTTGGGAGCAGTGTCTCCTGGATATAGGGAGTCTCAGCCCATGTCTTCTACAGAGGAGGATGGACTGTGGTAGCTTTCTCCTTCCTTATCCTGCTTTTTCTTCTATTCACCGTCTAGGTTGTTCTATTACCTTTCCCTTCTATCACCCTTTGATCTCTTACTTAGTTCTAAATTGGAAACAAGCCATTCCAATGGGATAAATCCTCTTTATTCATTTAAAATTACCATAAAGTATAGAATTCTCACTGGCAAGAAGCTTAAAGTTGTACAAAAAATTTATAATACAAAAATTCATGCCCTTACAAAGGTCAAGCTACAGGGACAAAATATGTACTTGCAATCAAAAGTATCCTGGGTACAAACTAATATAATATCTGGTAGGTGCTATTTTTAGAATACATTTCTAAAATGCAATGCTGTGCTTATATGCACTGTCTCATTTTGTTTTTATAATCTTTGTATGTGATTTGTAATTTCTTAATAGATGTGGAAATCGAGGTTAAAAGAAATAGAGAAACTTACCCAAGTTCACACACAGCAAATAAGTTCTGGAGCTAAAATTCAAACTTCAGTATTCATGGAGATCTTCCACCACCCTCAAGTTGAGTACGTTATAGCTAAGGACCACAGATATTATTGGCAATCATGAGTATGTGTGTCCTGGAAGAAAAGAAGTGAGCACTAAGCTCTGATGGTTGTGAAACTTTCTCCTAGCACCCACTATGTGTCTACTGGCTGCTTTGCATATAGTATCTTATTTAGTTCTAACAATCTCATGTAACCAAATATTTCGATTTTCACCTTATTGATTAAGAAACTGAAGATTGAAAAAGAAAATTAAGCAGGGATGGTCCTGCAGCTAAAGATCAGTGTGGATTCCAACGCAGTCTCCTCCCAAGTGTGTGACTTTCACAGAGGGGACAGAGAGGGAATTTCAGCTGAGAAAACCATCAGGAGCATTAGTACTAGGGTAGAGAAATAAGTCAAATATACAAAGACAGAAAGAAAAATTTGATAAAAGTGAAACACTGTTATCAAAAAGGGAGAAGTAAGGAAAGAGAGTGAAGCATTGGGAGAGGAAGTCACGGATAGGTTTTAAAGCCAAAGTAGAGGAATTGGGGTTTGATATTCCTGGCCCAGGGAATCTACTGCATGGTCTTGGGCAGGTTGGGAGATGGTAAGGTAGTGGGCTGAAAGATGGTTTTACTCTCTGTGTGCCAGATGGAAAAGAGGAGAGTGACTAGAAACTGGGTGACTGCCTGGGAGATTTTCCCCAGTGTCCCCAAATTAATGATGATGGTGATGGCTGTCTTTCTTGGAAAGTGTCTATGCACTCAGCTTTGATCTATGCACTTTACGTGCATTTACCTCCTTAATATTCTCAATTAGTTTATGAAGTACCATTATCATCATTCCTATGTTATAGATAAAGAAAGTGAGGTTCCAAGAATTAAGGAACACGTAACAATTAAGTGGTAGGGCTAGAATATAAGGCGGTCTGTGTGACTGCTCAGAACTTAAGCTTTCTCTCATACCATGCTGCTTCTCACTGCTCTCCCTGTCACTCAGTAGCAAGAGTATCCTCATCAGCGCAGCTTCCTACATAAAACCATTTAAGTGCAGCTGAAAAGAGGCAGCAGCAGCAGTGACTGCTAACACTTCTCTTGTCCCAGATGTTTGACTGTCCTGTACACGTGAGCACTAGCTCAGATGTTAATGTCTCTGCCTGGGCTAAGAAGTTCTTGGCATGAGATGTTTCAGGCTGAGTTTGAGATTTAGACAGGCTGTTCTGGGTGCAACGGATGGAGACTTTCTTTGACACAACTGTAGCTTAGTAAAATCTTCAGTAAAGGTGCTAATTGTGTACAATTTACCTGCAGAGGTTTCCCTTTCATAAATATTTTTTCCTTCAAGGAAACTGACTAACTTCTAAGAGCCAAATTTCATTGTGTAACGGCAGAGACTTTAAAATACATCAAAGAGTGTGTCAAACTTTTCCACTCTCCTAACTGCAGGGGAACTAAATGGAAACTCTGTGGGAGCTGGGGGTGGGGTGAGGGGTTGGAAAAGAGTAGGTTAAGAACAAGACATTTCTTTGAAGTTTCATGTTTCATCTTAAGAATTTGTGTGAAGTTTCCATTCCCACAAAAGACATCTGTGTTTTAAAATTAAAATGTTTTCCTAAAACTGTGGGTTTGCAAAATAAAATTAAAATGTTTTTAGAATTAGAGAGAGGCACCATGATAATCCAGGAGCTTAATGTCCTCCCCAACATAGCATCTCTTAATCCCAAAGTCAATGAAATCCATATGAGACACCCAAACATAACAATTTGCAACTAGATCTCTGTGGCCATGGGAATAGATTCTTCCAATCCTGTGTCTTCTCTGCTGGCAAACATAGTCAGAAGGTCATAACTCACATAAATGTCATGCACAGGACAGCTGCACCAGGCAGAGATTAAGTTTGTAACCAAATATACCATAAGGGCTCCCAAAATACCTGAAGGTTAGTATAGCATAGTGGTTAAGGACAGAGCTTTACACTTAAAGAAACAGTGTTCAAATCCCAACTTGGCTGGTAACAGCTGTAGCACCTTGAGTTAGTTATTTAGGCACTCAGGAAGGTTAAGTCCATGAATATGCATTATAGTGTTTAGAAAAATGCATGGCATATTTTAAATGCTCAATAAATGATAGCTTTAATTATAGTTAATAATTGTAAGATCATGAGATTTATTGTTTGAATGTAAAATGTAAAATATATAAAAGTATTACAAATTATTATTGTTTCTTAAGAGAAAAATAACCTTTACACACAGAAAATATTTGATTATCTGTTAGGTCTGGAAACCTGAAACAAAATTCTAGGTTAAATTTTTAAAAATGTACACTTACATGATCCCTGCCCTCTAGGATATGGAAAGAAAAATTGTGATGCAGAAAATCATACAGAAAAGTTATAAAAAAGCAATCAATGAACTAAAGCGATTTTCCATCTCTTAGGAAAGTATCAAATTATTCTTATACACTAGTCTGGATGCCCAATACTTGAGAAACAGTATAAAGTTTACAGAAAAAATGAATATATGAATACTTAATGAGACTAGAAAATAGTAGAGGCAAAATCTGAAAACTGAATAATCAAGGAATGCCAATCGAATGAATATTTATTATAATAATTGAATAATAGAAAATATAATGAAGTCCTTTAGACCCAGTATTCTGTTCTTGGGCTGGTGAGGAGTGTGGAATCTTTAATTTTTCAATCTACAAAAATTTATGGATTTATTGATCTAGATGTTTTGTTACACTCCGGACTAGAATGTGTCAGAGTGCATTCTCAAGGAACCTGCCATGAAAGACTGTGGCAGTGTTTTTCCTTTCTCTTGATGGAAACACAGTAGTCTGATCCTCCAAGTTTCTTCCAATTCCTTACTTATTAGATCTATGATTTCTTTTGTTAGGTCTCCAGCCCTTGCTAATTGGACAACTATGATGCTGCAAAGATATCACTTCAGAACACCCTTCCCCTTCTGATAAATTTATTTCAGAGATACTCTGAAATAGAGATATCCAGAGGCAGTTCAGAATAAAAAAAATATGTTGATTAGAGACTCCTGCAGCTACAGACACATATTTCTTGACTGGATTAATGTAGGTTGGTGAGAAAAAGAGAAACTAGCACTTACTAGATCCTCTCTCCCCAAGATGTGGCCAGAAGAACTGCAAGAGTTGTTTGGTGACCCAATTTTTAGAGGCATTATTATCAACTAAAACAGGTATCTGCCCTTAAGGGAGATGAATCAGACCCAGAGGGCTCCACTAGGCTTCCTACCAGAGACCCACTTCCAGAATCTCTCCCTGCAGTATGCAAATTTGATCTAATGGGTAGCAACTCAAAGAAAGTAATTAATTTCTATGATTCTTTCATAGTCACACACCGGACACATATTTAGGGAATTGTCATACATATTAATATTTAGGGAATTTCCATGTATATTCAGTGAATGGCAAAAAGATCTCCAGATAGTGCTCGTGGAGTTCTCTGCAAGCTCCATCTCAGTAAGGGACAGATAAGGGGAAGTGGTGGAGGTAGATAAAGAAAGATAAAACAAGCTTTCTGTGCAACCCTCTGAGTTGATGCGCCATCTTAGCTGAATTTGCAGGAGTATAATCCAAGCCAGATGGCTGGCTGTCCTCTCTGACACATCTAATTAGATGTGGATTTATGCTTACTTCATTCATGATGCTTGATCTCTAATATTTAGAGTTCATAGAGCAGGAAGCCCTTGAAGCCCTTCAGATGTTCCTGTGTAGCCCTTGAAGTCAGGGTGAAGGGAAAAACATAACATTATGAATTGTTTTGATGCTGAGATTAAGTGTAGTTTTATTTATCCTTGAAGGCCTACAATGATTTCATCCAGGAGATGCATGTTGGCATTTGAATCATCGTTCTAAGTAGTATGAAAAGTAGATTAAGATATTAGCAATTTCTAATTATACTTTTGGTTTTAAATGTTCATGTTAACATTTATACATTTATGACATTAAGAAAAAAATTATACTATAATCCCACTACTCAAACTCCCAAAATATATCTTCCTCTTTGACATCATTCAATGTATACTTAGACATACAGATGCTTTTTGTATAGATATCATTATAGCACATACACAACTTTGGGGTTTTATTTTGCTTAATATTGTTTGAGATAAGCTGTTCTCTGATTCTATTTAGGTTGGTGCAAAAGTAATTGAAGTTTCTGCCATTACTTTCAATAACAAAAACTGCAATTATTTTGCACCAACCCAATACCATATAATCTGAATTAATGAGGAATTAAAACAATAGTGTGGCTAAGAATTTATGATGGAATTTACTTTGTAAGTAAAGAGTTTACTTTGTAAGTAATTTGTAAGGAAATGGAATTTACTTTGTAATTTACAAAGTAAGAATTTACTTTGGTCAAGTTACTGATATTCTCCGAATTTTAGTTTCTTCATCTGTAGAATATAGATTATAAGATCTGTCTATAGAGAGTGTGTATAGACTAAACGAGATAACACATGTGAAAGACTATATAGGGTCTGGCTGACAGTAGGTGTTCAAGTCATGGATATTATTATAATTATGTTAAAGGTAGATTTCACCACCACGATCCACAAAAGGCAGTAATAACACAAGGCTCCTATGTATGCAACAGCTATTTTTGAAGTCTTTATTTTCCTAAGTCTCTATTCTTTGCCTATTGTAAATGTTATGGGTTGAATTTTGCCCCTCACCCTGATTGTTGAAGTTGAAGTTCTAACCCCCATTAACTCAAAATGTGGCCTTATTTAGAAATAGGTCATTACATATGTAATTAGTGAAGTTAAGATGAGGCCATTAGGGTGGCCCTCATCCAATTTGACCGGTGTCTTTACAAAACAAATACCATGTGAAGAGACAAGCATATAGGGAAGATGATGTGAAGACACAGGAACAAGGCATTCACCTACAAGCCAAAGAGAGGGCCTGGCACAGATTCTTCCCTCACAGCCCTCAGAAGAAAACCACCCTGCCAAGACCTTGATTTTTCACTTTTAGCCTCCACAACTGCAAGTCAATGAATTACTGTGGTTTAAGCCATCCAGTTTGTGGGTATTTTTTACCACAGCCCTAGCAAGCTACTACAATAAGGCTGTCTTAGTGGCAATTTGAA